CAAGTGAGAATAGCATTTTACAGTGCTAGTCACCTATCAATTTCTGCTACTTCTACTATGGCATTGAGTCTATTGACATCAGCATCTTGACCAATTTTGTATGGTTTTATGATCTATAAGAAGTATTGGAATTCCTTTGCCTTGAGGTTTGCTTATCAGTTTTTGGTTTGCACTCAATACTACATTATAGGCACAGCAGATATGTTAACTTTGTTTCGAGCAGGGATACTGTTTTCCTACCCATTTAAATTTCAACATATCAGAAGATGCTATGCAATCACACAAATTTTGCAATACAAATTCACATTTAGCCATATCTATTTTTTATTCTGACTTTCTCCTACATACTTTTTTATATCACTCTTCATTATTTAGACTAGTAGCCCACGAACATGTGAATGTGTGCTTAGGAGAAGGGTTGGGTTGGTTGAACTGTAAATAAAGTTGAACGTCATAGGAGAAGTCTGTGAGGGAAAAATTCGGTGTTTTTTCGTTCATCGTTACCATAATCTTCCCTATTTCTTAAAGCTGTTTTAGTCTGTCTTATATATTTTTATTTTCGTTATTTCATAATTGAGAAAGAAGTTTCTCTTAATAAAATGATAGATTATCTGTTGTGAAATTATTCTTTTCTGAACTCTCTACTGCATAATAATACTCAATATTTATAATCTGGGTTCTTGATAGTTTGTATTACTGCATAATAAGTCCTCATCGTACTTATTTCTTTTAGTTTTTTGCTTTATATTCATTCTACTGATACCTCTTCATTTTTAGTATTCGATGCAATACTCAGAAGTCAATTGTCCAATTGATTACAGGCATGTGTGCACTTGTTAAGAGGGTCCAAAGAGATGACGTTGGGCGCAACAGATGTATGGGAACATTGGGCGGTACTATTATTGGGTCTGGCATTGACATTGTGTAAGCTTTCTTTGTTATTATAATTTAATATGCTATTACCATAAGCAAGGGAGTGCTCCATATGCATTTGGGCAGAAAAGAAGTAAAAACTGTTCAGATCAATGCTTCACAAATCCATAATCTGTAGTGTAGCAGGGAAACATTATCAATATTGTAAAATACACAACAAATAAGAGCTAATGCAATTATGGTTATATGTATTTCATATTGAAGTGCTTTTAGCAAAAGAGCGTATTTATCTCCCTCCCCAAAAACATCCCATGTTGTAAGAAGACCCTGGTCAGCCAAGCAGTATATTACAAGACATACCTGGTAGTCTATTGGTGAGCTGGTTACAATTAGTATTTGCTAAATAAAATGGCATTGTGATTTATCTTAGTCATATGCCACTCTATTGCATGTGACCTGTTCCTGTATCATGTTCATGTCTGTACATTGCTACTTTTATTTACTCTTTTTTGCCACACATATTTCAATATAAATCATGATCGGTCATACTTATTTGATTTTTTCTATACATTGAAAAATCTGGTTTGATATATAGGTAGTACTATATGTGGAATTAAGTGTCAAGGAGGCGCTTCTGTGTCATCTTTATAGTATCTTCACCACTTCTGTTTCCCACTATTGCTTGGTGTTTTGGAACTGCTTGCGTTTCCTTAAAAAAGATTAAATCAATAGTTTAAACGTTGAATTTCTAACTCAAGGTGCTGGAACTGATAAGTCAACCATATCGCAAAACTGAGAGAAATGAAGGTTCTGGACTTTGCTATTTATTCCCATCCCATTGTTTTATACTAGAGTACTACATCTCAGATGTGTGCAATCATAAGATTTTATTCTGGCTTATACAGGAGATTATATTTTGAGCAAGTAGAAGAGCACGACTTTTATGTGAATGGTAGAAGACTTTTTGAAGAGTCAGAAGCAGAAGGAACTCTCCTGTATCCTGGTAGGTTTGTCAAAACTGTAAAATGAATATAGTTCAGGTATACATCAAGCTATACCTAAGTAATTGGACCATCAAGGATGGATGTAGCTTATTTATACATGTACCATTATCTCTTTGAATCTTTGCATGTCACTGATAGATCCATCATTTAGTTATTCCTAGCCTGGTCCAAATGTCTTTCAAGTGAACGATTCTTCATTGCATGTAGATTCTTATATGAGCTTGAAATGAAAATGTCATGCCTTAAATTTTACTTTTGGATGGGAGAACAGGTACAACTTTATTTGAACTTAGTGTGCATAATACTACCAGCCTTTGTACCCATGCGGTACCGCGATGAAAGAGTCACCATCTATTCTTCCTTTCTAAGATTTCTCTTCAATTCCTTATCTCTCTTTTTGCCTCTTTGGCTTTCCAGCAATAATATCCTTCTTCGGTGGAGTTTTCTAGCCAAGAGTTTGTAGAGCTATTTATTCAATTGCAGACATTTCTGGGACATTTCTAACAGAAGGACAAATATTCAATTTTTAAAGAACATATTGTGAACCTCTTTCAGATATGACTCTGTCCGAGAAGGGATGAACTTGCATCAGGGTTTCAGAACTACACCTAATCATCCCGCATTGGTTCTATTCCCAATTCATAACTCGAAATTTCTTCTGGTCCTTTGGTAATTGGGCTATAAGTTATAACTGTGAAAATTAGAAATGGCAAAATAGGAATAACAAATTAGTTTACCATTTCATAAAGCGTATGTATATATAATATGTTATAAATATATTGCAACTCTTAATTTCTAGTTTATCCCTTTCTTCCAATGGATCCTTGGGTTAGCAAGGTCTGCTGGATAGCCAGTATTGAGTAGTGCCTTTTTATGGGAGATATGAACTTTGTTGAATGAAAGTAGAGATAAAAATCATTATGATTTGGTTGATCTTGAAAATAATTTATCACTTGCACATCATAGATGATTGCCAACCCTAATTTGTTTCAACTGAGTGTCCTAGGCGGTGCACCATCAGAATTTTGAACTCACACATATTAATTGGGATGATGTGCTCCTCTTGCCCAATAAGTGTTTGGCAGTCTTGTGCAAGTTATGGAAGTGTGCAAGTATTTGGTATGCACAAGTGTGCTAGTGATATACAGTAAAGTGGTATAAGAGTAGTGTTTTTTTTTTCTTTTGGGGGGATGAAAGATACTTCATCAGAAAAACAAGCAACAGAGAGGCATTACAATGGGTACAACAGAAAAAAGAGAAGAGTACAACTAAACATAGGATAGGAGATGATGGTATGGATAAGATGAGATGAAGTTTTAACAGCTAAACCGCCCTCCCAACACCGCACATGGGATCAATTTCTTGGAGGACAAGGAGAGTCTCTTGATAAGATGTGCACCAAGATGGACCGGCTCACCCAAACATCGTTGCTCATCCTCCTTTTGACAAGAGATTCCTGAGTATCTGCAACAGCATTTGCTGAGTGGCAAACCCAGCACCAATTGACTCCTGTAACTCATGAAGGCAAGTCTAGGTAGGATATATCATCCAATTGCCTTTGAAAATTTTGCCCTTTATGCTGCGTATGAGATCGCTGGAATCAGATTTGTGTTTTGAACCTATTGTGGGCACTAAGGGGACAAAGTGAAGTATTATTCATCCAAGGTTTGATTTGGCACAAGATCAACTCCCCTACTTGTTGAATTTAAGGACGTGGCCAGGGGTCTAAGCTGCAAATGGAATTGATGGCTACCAGGTAGGCTGTTGCCTTTATTTCGACCATTGATTTTGTAGCTTCTCACATTTGATCCAACGCTTTCCCAGCTGTATGGTGGGGACAGAGGCTGAGATATGGTTTCCACCTCGGGGATCCTGGTGGTTGATTCTCTTCAAAATGGTTATTGATTGTCCTGAAGTGCATCCAGCGAAATCAGATCAGCAGGACATCATTAAATCAGATCTTTCTGTAGTGGATCTTGATCAGTTTATTAGATTGCAGAAAGAGGGCTTAGCAGCTGAATCACTCTCTCCTCTCGTAGCGGGCCCCTTTTCTTTCCCCCGCTGGCATGAAGAAAGGGTCCATTTCACTAGCTCTTCTTCTTGTGAGATAAATAGAGAGGTGCGCTTAACCACCTCTTAATTTTATTTGTTTGCAGGGCATCTCACACAGAGACTGGTAAAGGAAACCGGGAGGTGGAGCTGGGAGCTATTGGATGCTTGGTGTGCATATGAGAGTTGTAAATAGGTGTGTACTCTGTACATGCAGCTTATGTGTAACGGTGTAAGCCTTGCGTAGGATCTTCATTCAGCCTTGCGTTTCCTTTGGAGGCTGCATTACTGCAGAATGGGCTTAGTTAAGCACACCATCAAAGGTTTGTTCCAGGAAGTACTAAATTTCTACATGACTCTGTGAAAGTTGATTTGCTATCCAGATAAGCATGTTATGATAAATCTTGTATGTTTCTTAGTATGTTATGCATGCAACGTATGTATTTTGATCTTAGAAAAACTATACATGTCTGTTGTAAGAATGACAAAAGGATGCAATTGTTTGAAAAAATAGTGCAACTTTATTCACTTTTTGACTTGAGAAGAGATTATACTTTTCCATTTGTAAGGCCGACTGCATATTTCCGCTTGGAAAAGCCAGAACCTGCAATACTTCTGCTTGGGCCTTAACAACCAGGTGAAGTTTAAATCAGTTTGTGTTTCTTCGTCCTCAAGTGATGAAATCACTACGTGGCACGTCGCTACGTGGTTCTGCAATATTGATATGAAATCACTTCACATATGAAATCACCTATGAGGGCCTTAACTTCATCTGATCCGACTTCATCTTTTTAATGCTATTATTGAAAGTCTCAAGCAGTTGAAATCTTGAAAAATCAGACTTGGGAAATACAAATCACAGATTCAAAACTTGGAAAAGATCCATCTGTTAAAATTGAAATCTTATATGGTGAGGAGTTTTGATCAAATTTAGCCAAAATTTAACCCCCAAATTCATAAATATCAATTTTTAAAAACATGTTCAAATATAACCAAAAACTCACTTAAATTGACCAAAATGCCCTCTAAATTAAAACTCAATTACACCAAAAACCTAATTTAGCAGGAGCACTAAAATAAAATTGGATTCGTCAACTCAATCATGCCTATGAATCCAATCATAAAAATCACAATGTAATAATCGTACGACGCCGTTCAACGCCGTTGGAATGTCCAATGATCAATAAAAGAATTTCAATTAAAGTATGGCCACAGGATTTTTATGCAGAGTCAGAATTAAAAACTTGGGTGAGTATTGGTACAAAATGGACCCGAAAGGCCACGGGGTCCCAAAATGCCTCAACTTTTTGGCAAGGTAAATTCATCAACGTCATTTATTTATTCCAGTATATTGCAAAAAGTGCTAATCGCTTGGTCATTTTCCTTTATTTTATTTTTTTTAAAAAAAGTTATGTGTTAAATATTTTTGTGAAGGAAATGGTGAAAGCCCGAGAAGATTTGTGCCTACGGAAAATGTTTTTTTTTTCTCTCCCTCTTTTTGAATAAAAGCGATAGTTTTTCACACACACACTACCATGTTGCCATGTGAGCTCAAATCTGAGACCGTTGGTCTGCAAATTAAGGCTATTTTTCACTAAACTAGACCCCTTTGATTTTTTTTCTCTCTTTTAATCCAAGGAAAAATGATTTTATCCTCAACCTAATCGAAGAGATTTAACTCGTTTTGAATGAGTTTCTTCTTCTCTATGACAAGGAATCAAAGTTGATGAAACTCCCCAAAGCACTACAACAATGTGCGAATTACCATCTCTTGGGAATAATTCACGAGTGAAAACTAACGGGTATAACTCTGGCACCAAGGTGTGCTTTGAAACATTAACCACTTTAAAGTGAGACTCTAGCCATGAGAATCATAAATAAAATGTACTCATTTAGTGCTAATTTTAATTCTCAAATTTTCAAATTAATCAATATAGTCTTTGAACTTTTAGTTCATAAATCAATTTGGTCCCTATAATGGCATTCAATAAAAAGTTTCATTCAAATTGGTTACATGTCACGACGTAACAAGATTTAAAAGAGTATTTTCATTAAAATATAGTTCATTTGCCCAACATATAGATATTCACGGCCTTTGCTGAACATGGTTATCTACTCTTTATTTACAAGCTCATCACATGACAAGTTTTAAAGGGTATTTCCATCAAAATATAGCTCATTCGCCCAACAAATAGATTTACACCCTTTGCTCAACATATGGCTATCTACTTTTTATTTATGATTTCACATTGGGGTTCCAACAAGGAAAGCAAATGACCTTGTTGAGTATAAGACATGAGCTTCATTTTGTCTCATAGGTGTATATTTTGTATTTTGACAAATATTATCCCTTTAAAGTTGGTTGTGTGATCAATTTCACTGAAGATTTTGATGGATTGTAATGACAAGGAGCAGATTGATGTGTGGACCAAAAGATTTTTTTGGCCAAAGGTGATTGTTCATTGAAACAGAAATCCAATTACAGACCACCACACAAAAGGAGGCAAAGCCTCAAAGAATAGACTGAAAAAAGAAAAGTAAAACAAGACTCGACAGAGACGAGCATGAAGCTTTTCCCCACTCAGGCTGCGACCTTACAAAGAGTTACTAGGAGGGCACGACAGGGCATCAGAGACCAAAACGTGCACCAGAGATTACGGTGGCCGGTAGGCCCAACTTTCCAGTTCCACAGACCCAAATCCTATCGACGCTGCCATGTTGGCAGCACAATTTGCATTCCTAGACACCCATTTCCATCGGACGTCATGAAAGTTTTGGCTGAAACTCCGAATTTCTTCCAAGAGGGGCAAAATACACCAGGCTTGATTCCTAGCAGCTAGCACTACCATTTAAAGATTTAGGACCATATTGATTGATTTCAAAGTTTGGGGACTGAAATGAAGATTTTCAACAAATTGAAGGACCATTCATGATAAAATTGAGTGCAGAACAAACTAGGACACATACTAATTATGGTAATTACTTATGTAATGTTGAATTGATAAAAAAATAAATACAAACTAAATGACAAAATATCATTTAATTTTATAAGAGAAAGTTAAATAGCACTCATAATTAAGGAAACTTTGCTTCTTGGAAAGAGACAATGAGAGTTTGTTGGTTAGTTAACCACAAATTGCAGAGGAGTGGTAGCTAAATTAGTTTATGAGCACCACCAAATCGTGGGGTGACATTTCTCTGATAATTAACTTCACTTGTACTAATATGTTTTCCATTTAAAGCAATAACCTTCAATTGTGAACCGTCCCAAAGGTGAATCGCCACGTGGCATCGCATTTGTTGAATACAAATCTAAAACCAAGGAGATAAATACAAATCTTTAAAACGTGGCACCCAAAGAGCAGCAGCAGCAACAACAACCTCGTGAAATCCAACCCACCAAGATATAGATCCAAGTGGAGGTACTTGTAGTAGAAGCAAACAAAACCATAAAGCATTCCTTGTAAGCTTAGCCTATCCTTGATCTCTTGCCACTCTAAGTATAATTTAAAAGCAGCAAGTATCCCCTACTTGTATCGGGCAGCTGTATTGGATATGATCTGTCGACGATCTCTGTTTCCCTTCACATCAACAACATACCATCCATGAACTTCATCTTTTTTTTTTGTTGTTGTTGTCGAAATTCATGAACTTCATCATATATCAACGCAATTGGCGTCCTTGAATTTGATTTGTGATCGCGTTTGCATATTAATTGATGATGACTAAATAAAAACTGTTTTATATATTCATGGTTTTTTTGTTGTTTGTATTTTCATGTTAGATTACATGAAGATTCTAGATTAAATTAATTGTGTACATGACGTTCAAAAGCTCATAACCGATCCCTCTAGGTCAGCACTTAGACAATGAGAGTTTGTTGGTTAGTTAACCACAAATTGCAGAGGAGTGGTAGCTAAATTAGTTTATGAGCACCACCAAATCGTGGGGTGACATTTCTCTGATAATTAACTTCACTTGTACTAATATGTTTTCCATTTAAAGCAATAACCTTCAATTGTGAACCGTCCCAAAGGTGAATCGCCACGTGGCATCGCATTTGTTGAATACAAATCTAAAACCAAGGAGATAAATACAAATCTTTAAAACGTGGCACCCAAAGAGCAGCAGCAGCAACAACAACCTCGTGAAATCCAACCCACCAAGATATAGATCCAAGTGGAGGTACTTGTAGTAGAAGCAAACAAAACCATAAAGCATTCCTTGTAAGCTTAGCCTATCCTTGATCTCTTGCCACTCTAAGTATAATTTAAAAGCAGCAAGTATCCCCTACTTGTATCGGGCAGCTGTATTGGATATGATCTGTCGACGATCTCTGTTTCCCTTCACATCAACAACATACCATCCATGAACTTCATCTTTTTTTTTTGGTTGTTGTTGTCGAAATTCATGAACTTCATCATATATCAACGCAATTGGCGTCCTTGAATTTGATTTGTGATCGCGTTTGCATATTAATTGATGATGACTAAATAAAAACTGTTTTATATATTCATGGTTTTTTTGTTGTTTGTATTTTCATGTTAGATTACATGAAGATTCTAGATTAAATTAATTGTGTACATGACGTTCAAAAGCTCATAACCGATCCCTCAAAAAAATAAATCCGAAGTTGATAACAAGTTCTTTAGCTAAAGATCTACCCTACAAAATTACAGGTTGAACATGGTCAATTAGGGCTAGCTATAGCTCAAGCTAACCTCTTAATTGCCAAAACCAGACACTCATCTACCCTATGTCTTCTCAATTGAGTAAAACCCTAATTCTCAAAACCCTTTCTTTTCTTGTTTACAAAAATCTCCTTCAAATTAAGCGTGAGAGAATCTTTGATTGCGATCATAGTACCCTTATCTTGTACTTTCAACTTAAAAAATGTTTTGTCTCCGAATCGCCGAGAGGATTTCTGCTCCCAGATAACCTTAATCACAATTTTAAACTCCCAGCAAATTGATTAATTTTTTACATTATTTTGACAGATAATTTTCTTAACTGATGCTTTAGTTTGGAGCCACCACGTGAGGACAGTCCCTTTAATTTACAATCCGGCTACTTGCATGGCCAAAATATCATTCTTGATCTGGAGGGGACCATCTTTTGAATATCTAATTGCACTCACCTGCCTCTTGATACTTAATTAAGGACAGCCGTAAACGAAAAATGGACAGGCGCAGACAAACACTGAATTGCATTAACATATAGTTAATATTATAGATTACAGTTAATACATATAGTAATATGAATGACACGTAGGACTACCACGGCATTTGGGGGGATTTGTGATAAGTATCATGGATTTTGGGGGGATTTGGGCTTCAAGTGACTACCACGTTTTCCTCACAAGTGGGTGTTTAATTTTTGTGCACTTTTCTCTATTGTGATTATTAAACTAATGAATTCATTCCCTTCCAAATTATTAATTTCTTTTTGTTACATTAGAGCTCGATCCTAGGGTTCGAACTGGGGACCACCATTACTGTGGTGGGAATCTGCTGGCTCCAAATTATACTTTTTAGTCCTAATTTGACATATTTTTTATTTTAATTCTTGTCGTTTCAATTTTAACGATTGAAGAAATTAAAATAGCGTTACATCTGGTAGTTGTATATGATCACATCGAATTTTAATATGATGGAGTTTACGATTTGAACTTGATTCCAAGTCAAATTAAACTATAGGAATAGAAATGCTCAAATCGAAATGATCAGAGAGCGAAGTTGCAAATGAGTCAAACTACGCGAACAAAAAACAAAAAAAAACTCAGCATTTCATTTCATAGAGTTTGTTGATGATGAGTGACTCAGCAAGACAAAGTGATAAAAATAATATTAACCAAAGTAAGGTGCTAATAAAGTAGTCATTGACTATTTCTACATTTCCGTGATTTTTCCAATTAAGAAACCAAAAGTATTCATGCTATAAGATCAGTACGGAGTCATTTAGATTTTGAACATATTCATCTAAAGTACGAAGATCTCTTAAATGTTAATTAGGACTCTTACACTCATCAGGCTCAAGGCAAAAAGAAAACCGAGAAAATGCATGTACATACCTCCTTGAGTATCTTCAAGAGAGTATGCGGAAGAAATAGGCAAATATGTACTATACGAACCTACGTGGTATGTTGCCTACTCATTTGCCTTTGTGATGAAAAAAGTTCAATGGACTAGGCAATGCAATTGTACCAACTATAATTATATTGTTTACTTTCATCTTTTACCTTTTATCTTTTATTACCACATAAAAACAAAAGGAGAATTTTTTTTTTTTATCACAAAAAACATGTGGGATCCAATATACCTATCCATTTTGAAGTAAGTAGCATTGCCTCATTAGGGAGAGTATGTCTATGTAAGAGGAAAATGTCAAACATATAGTTTGCTTACTCATTTGCCTAGGATAAAAGGGCGATAGTAGATCTACCATGACCAAGCAGCAACACCTCAAAGAGTAGCTTTGCAAGATGAGGCACGTATCCAAAGCAAATCAAGATTCGTGGCAGAGATAATAGATATGCTAAAGGAAGACCATATGAGTATAGATTTGCCAAAAATCGAAGAACACCGAGAATCCGGAGAAAAACCCCCCAAATATGAATCTCTCTCTTTCTCTCTAAAAAGCTTTGGCTATCTAGCCGCGTCAATTAAGATATATTTGACTTGTGACATTAATGAGCTTTAATGAAGTTGGTTTGCAATAACTTTCTTCTAATTTAGGATTAGCATGATAAGAATTTGAACTAGGATGAGTTCACAACTGGTAACCTCTCTTAGTATATAGCTGAATTGTTGATTAATTAACTAGTTTAGTTTAGTAGGAAGCTTCGTGATCCCTTTTCCATCCATGGTCTAGTGGGTCCCAAAAAATAATTTGGAAGATATGATTCATCAAGGGCCAAGTGCCACGTGGGATTCTCAAATGCGCAGAAAGTGGGATGGGGCCCACCTTGATTAGAAAGCCCCATTAAACTACAAGAGGCTGAGTGGAGGATCCATACGATTGAAATCTATTATCTCCAAGTTAAATATAAATCCTAATGCGGCCTGTAAGCCTTTGGAATATTCTCAAAGAAAGATACAGTGATCAATTATACAATTAAAAAAAGAAAAAACCCTAGAAAAGCAAATTTAGGCTCTTTAAGCCTTTACCTTTTAATTATATATACACAATCCTTTGCATCCAAATTCACTCAAAACATTGTCATAACAAAACATGTCTGCTTCTACTACTTTCTTTGTGAACTTCTACTCTAGAAGACTTCTCTTACACAACCCACTTTACCAACCACCAAACGCAGCCTCCTCCCCAATCTCCTCCACAAACACACATGACCCAACAGATCAATACCCTGGTGACAACAGCTTTGATGCAAATGTTGTTATGGTCCTCTCAGTCCTCTTGTGTGCCCTAATTTGCTCACTTGGCTTAAACTCCATCATCAAGTGTGCTTTGAGATGCTCAAGCTTTGTAGAGTCCAGAGGCAGCAGCAGCAGCAACACCTCCGCTAGGTTAGCCAACACAGGAGTGAAGAAAAAAGCCCTAAAAACTTTCCCAACAGTGAGTTACTCAGCTGACCTAAATCTGCCTGGGCTGGACACAGAGTGTGTGATCTGTCTTTCGGAGTTTACAGCCGGTGAGCGTGTTCGGCTTCTTCCCAAGTGCAACCATGGCTTCCATGTCCGCTGCATTGATAAGTGGCTGAGCTCACACTCATCTTGCCCTAAATGCAGGCACAACTTGATCGAGACATGTCAAAAAATTGTGGGTTTCACCCAAGCTAGCTCCTCAGTCCCACCAGTGCAAGAAACCATTGTAAGCATTGTGCCACTTGAGCCTGAAGGTTTGGTACGCAATTATAGGGGAATTAGCTAGCTAAGTTTTTATAATTCTTTTGTTAATTGTATAATATTTAGTTAATTATATGCTTAGCTTTCCTGGGGTTGAGCACACTGGTTATAGCCAACCCCACTAGCCACCCAATACAAAGTGTAATTACTTCTAGTTGTGAAATTGTGTAGCGTTTCCAATTCTGATTTGTTCAAAAAAAAATTTTTCTCCACCTAATAATTGTGCAAAAGTTGTGTGGAATTTGAGTGCACACTTTTGAAAATCAGAGAATTTTGGAACTTAAAAACTCAATTATTTCATGTACAAGACCTTTGTGCTGACTCAACATAGCAAGAAGCTTTCTCCAAAGTGGCTGCCTACATAGGATATCTGATGAGGAAAATCACTCAAGACCCAGCATGACTTGAAGTCTTGAAGGGAAATTCCCCCAATCAGCTGGGACAACTAACCTATTTCTCTTTTCTTTTCTTTTTTAAATTTATTTACTTCCAAATTTTAAAATCAATTATTTTAATTTGAACCAATAATATGCTAGTGTACAATACAATGGCATTGCCAATGCCATATTAAAATCCTATAGCCTATAGCATGGTCAAGGCGGCACAACTAAATCAATATAATCTCCAAAATCCGAGAACCAATAAATTGGACAATAACTTCAAAGTCCATGCCAAAAAGAATGGAGTAAACTAATTGCTATGAGACATATTCAAATGCGCCCTACGTTGAAACAGAGACAAAAACAAAATGCAAAATATATAAACAAGGATTTGAACAAATATTAATGGAGCCCATATTGGAAGCTGAGGGTGAAACCACTAGGTGCTTTCAAATCAAATCAAGTGTACCAAAAGGGAGATTTTGTATCATAGTACTCACGTGATGTGTTTTCTAATAGGCACTAGCTAGGCACTCACAACTAACGCTACTAGCTAGCCAGGCGGCTAAGATTTGATTTGCCAAAAGGCTCTTGAGAATGTGTTATATATGTTTTCAACATATTAATTAAATATTGGAAAAGAAAAAAAAGAAGAAATATTATTGCTTGCTAAACCCATATGTAGGTGTTGCCGAGGTCTTAAATATCGATGATATCGGAAATATCGATAGTCCAAAAATATAGAAATTTCGATGGAAATATCGGGATATTATCGATATCGATAAAAATTGAATAAAAACTATGAAAATTGTAAGAAAAACTTGGAAATTTTTATTGAAACTTTGGAGGATGTTTATTTAGTCAATTGTCTATTAGTTTATCACAAAAAATTGGAAGGAAATTCATTGCATGATGGGTTTAACCGATTTAAGTTGATTATATAGCGAGCTGACAAACACTGTGAGTGTAGAAAATATGTAGTAATTAATGAAAGAAGATTAAACACACCATAATAATTTATATATAATGATTTACTGCAATATTTTACACTTTATACATTGCATGGTAAGATACATGAGTGACTATGCGGTTCAAAAAATTTCAGTATCTTCATAATCTCTATGTATGGATATGTGTATGGATATGTTCCAAAATATCCGTGACTCGAAAAAATGATAATATTCTCGATATTTCATCGATATTATCGATATTTTAGACTATGGGTGTCGCATAATAGTATAACTTAGAAGTTGAGTATCGTGTTCACATAGAGCGGTGTAAATATGCACAAAATTCTAAATAGTAACCGTAGTAAAAGCAAGAATTAAACAAGATTAAATTCAGATTAAAATTCAATAATAAAAACACTAAGACATCAAGGTTTTATCTTCAACACGCATGTGTGGATGCGAATTCCTTCACGTAGCCTGCTCTTGAGAGCAATATGCAAAGTGGCTAAGAGTGACCTACAAAACAGTCGAAGGTGATGGATGAACTCAAGGGCTTACGTCATCGGGTGCTAGGCCTGGACCTGGACTTTGTTGCACTACGACACAAAAACCATTCTATGACACGTGATCTGCATCATGAATGACTTTTAATGATGCGGATCAGAGGTCATGGAAAGTTTTTCTAAATAATGACACCTGATATGCGTCATGGAAACGACTCTCGATGACAAGGGTTGTGTGCCATTATATTGGAGTTTCCATGACATCTTAAATGCATCATGGAAAGGTTTTCAATGACGCACAATGCCCATCATTAATTGTATGACGTTTGATTGTACATTGTCGTTAGCACTTTCCATGACGCAAACTGGGCGCCATTGAATTTCACGACTTTTACTAAGTGTCATTAGTTTTCATGACGTGCTTCACACGACATTCAATCTTAAAAAAAAAAATATACTAATTTGTATATATAGCCCATCATTTTAATTATGCAAGAAGAAATTTATATATATATATACATCAATTAATATTGTGCAAAATTGAAGACAGAGGTTAATGAATGGTTCAAATTATATTTCTATTACTCAAAATGGTTCTAGTACATCATGAAAAGTTTAATGAAAGTAACTTGGCTTTAAAATGAACTAAGTACATAACTCCATTCGTCTCTCTTCTCGTCAAGAAGGACATGATTCAGACATTGAAGAATAAGAGATGACATGGAGATAGGGGACTTAACTTCCACAAGCCATACACTCCTCTCATTCTACAGAAAGCACACTTGTGGCAAATCAACATCACCATCCACCTTATTAATATCCTGCTCCACCAAATAACACCAGAAATATTCACCACCTCATTATATAGTCAAATGTATTGTAAACAAAAGGTATTTTCTGTAAAGAACATGATAGAAACAATATTATGAACAAGGGGAAAAACTAAACAATATGAACAATGGGCAAAAGTGATAAAGCTATCTACATGCCTGTAACAAGTACTCAAATTGAGCACTACCCTGATTATCTGATGAGATATTGAGCTTTTATCATTTAGTTCAGTTTCTCCCACTTGCGATTGAGCTGCAAAAATATCAAGTGTAAATTACACCCTTGTAACTTACAAACATAGCAGGCAACCAATTAAATTTTTCCCGATACAAAAGTTATGCCATCTGCAAATATTAAGTGTATACAACACAGTTTTGATAATAAGGATCTGCATTATATTTAAAAAAAAACTAAAAGATAAGGAAAAAACAAAAGGCTTACAAAAACTACAGGTTAAGTTCCAAATAGTCATAATTCTCTCTATTAAACAGTGGCATGCGATTGGTCATTTGCTAAGTGAATGAAGAAATCATACTTTGTAACTTACAAACATAGCAGGCAACCAATTAAATTTTTCCCGATACAAAAGTTATGCCGTCTGCAAATATTAAGTGTATACAATACAGTTTTGATAATAAGGATCTGCATTATATTTAAAAAAAACTAAAAGATAAGGAAAAAACAAAAGGCATACAAAAACTACAGGTTAAGTTCCAAATAGTCATAATTCTCTCTATTAAACAGTGGCATGCGATTGGTCATTTGCTAAGTGAATGAAGAAATCATACTCTATATCACTCAACAAACACAAAACAGGACTTCAAATGAATCAAAAAAGAACATAATAATAAGAACGAACAAAAAAAACAAGGGATAACACATTAGTAAAACCACCCGCCTCAATAAGTTGAGTTCATCAAAACGATTTCCTCTTTGGCCTCCCTTGCATACTTCCGGAACCAATATTTCAGACTTCAGTATAGATTGATAAGTCAATATTTCACAAATAAATCACAAACTGACAATCAAAACCAAAACAGTGAGACTCATAAAATATTACCAATCTGAAGAAGAACAATATACCAGGAACTGGAAATGAATAAAAGTCCATTAACTAGTGCCATGGAATCTGGCGTTTTCCTGAACATGTGAAACATGTTATTCTTTTTCTGGAAAGCATTACATCAACACAGACTTATTAATCCAATTAATGCTATTCAATCAACAGAATATATACTATGACTAGTAATAGTGATGTATAAAGGACGTATGACATACAATATGATAATTATAAACAAAATCCCTTGGAATATGCTGCATAACCAATCCCTTTAGTTTAAGCCCTTTAAAGCAAAAAAATAAAAAATAAAAAATAAAAAATAAAAAAACCAAAACGGAAAGCCCAAAAAATAATCAGCAACGAAGATAAATTTCTGTTCTTTTGGCAGATCATTAGAGTTTAAGCTCTTTAAAGTTTAAAAAAAATAGCCAAAATAGCCATAAGTGAAAGCCCAAAAACAAAGATAAGCAACGAAGAGAAAGTTTCAAGACACACACAAATCACAAAATCTGACAAGTAAAGCACAGGTGTTGGGAATAGAGTTCCACCTTTCTTTCAAATTCTTGGCATGTTTACTAATCTGTAATTGGATTAGGAGGAATTGATTTGAGGATGAATTGAATTAAGGAGGAGTTGGATTGAGGAGAATTAGATTCCGGATTCCTAAAAAAGTTGTTTACTAAACCATATGGATTGAGGAGAGTTTGAAAATACCTATAGGATGGCTTAAAACCCCAAAAGCGTAAAGTCTATGTTTTGAGTAGTTAAGATATTACGATAATACAAATAAAACACGCCAAGGGGATTGATACGATGTATCAATGCTATACAGTTCAGAACGTAAAGGCAGAGAAAAACACAAAAAGTATTTTACGTGGTAAAACCCCACCTCTGGGGAAAATCCACGAGACTTGATAGTCCAAGGCAAATCCACTACAGAACGATGATTACAAGAAGTATACAAACTTGTCCTAGACACTCTAGACAACGTACCAACTTCGTAACTCAACTTCTCGCTGGATTTCTCCTTCTCTCCTTATGTTGAATCCGATTCTTGACGCAATCAATCCAAGCTCACTGGAGGTACGAGAACCTTGTAACTTATGCAAATGAATGCAAATGAATGCAAATGAGTGCAAGGTCAAATCACCAAGATAATCTTACTCTTGATTATTTACCCTTATGAACAACAAAGCACAACAACTTTCTTTTGTGTATATGAAGACTTAAGAAAAACTCTTAGTAGTAGAAAGTTGTTGAACAAATGAAACCAAGCCTTACTTTTTTATAATGGTTTTCAAAACTGGAAACAAGATCAATTAGTTCCTAATCAACTAATTAATTTTCCAACATCAGACTAATTGATTTCCAATCTAAGAGGACTTTTAATGTTCAAAACTAGAAAGCAATTTATAAAATAAATCAATCTTTCTTAAAATAAAAAGTCTTCTTAATCATAATATT